GGGGGGTCAGGCGAATAAAAAATTCTTATTAAAAAAACAGATATATACGAGGAAGAAAAAAAAAAAGAATTGCAGCTCTTTCACTGACAACTCAAACCTTAGAAAAAATCTTAGATTTAACAGTGTTTTTTTTTTGTGTGTGTGTAAATTGTAACGGAAACAAAGACATCAGTAAATAGTAACCGACCGACCTTCCAACTTTATTCCGTTCGGCGATTTTCCTATTTAGAAATTTCTGAATTAACAGGCTACTTTTAAGGCATGCAAAAGGAGTTAATGAAAAAGGAGGTAATGAAAAAAAGCGTTTCATGCCGCAGAATGTCAATCTCATTATCAATTCAGAGAACTCGGTTGAATATGAGGAAAATGCATACACCACCACGAACAGGAAACTGCTTAAGTCTTTTGTTAGAAGGTAATAAAATAATCTAATACAAGTCGAATATCATTTCATTTTATACGTTAACTCTTAAAATGGAAAATTCAAACGAACAATCAGCTGCCCCTCTTCAAAAGATAACAAGATAAATTTTCATCCGTAAAGCGATATCGCTGAGGGAACAGTCAATATTAATCACGGGGGGTACGGGTAATTTTGGTTGTGTCACGATGAAATTTACCTGATTCCCCTCATAAAGCTCTGTAAAGTTCTAATGCCCCCCCTCCCTCATTGACAGTTAATTGGCAGTCAGTCCCCCCTCTATAATATGTTGATCCATTCCCCCAAAAACCACGTGATCCCCCCCCCCCCAAAAAAAAACCCAACTCCCCTCGCAGTTTATAAATGATGACTGATTCCTTAGTCGCTTCGTTGCGCAGCTGGTTGTTTCATCTCAGTGAAAAGAAAAGGAGACTAAACAAAGAAATCGCTGAGGAAAGTTCGATATTTTTTTAAAAGAGCCGAGAACGTTACGTCTACTATATCTAATAATCGAGGGAAAAAAAAATCGTCTTTTTTAATTTCGTTTTTACGCATTCTCATCCGAAACTTTCACCTCCCAGATGTGATCAACATGTTACTTCTCCTCACGATATCATTTATCATTTCATTCTCCAGGAGACTGGGGTTGACAATGGAAAAACTGGCTACCCACCGAGAGGGTAGCATTTTGCTGCATTACGATATACTCGTAACGTCTTTAAAACGAACTACAGAGCAGCTAGATGGGAGAATTAGTGATCAGATCTGAGGTGTAATGGGTTAAGACAATCAAAAAAAAACTTCTGTAAACTTATACCACCAAGTTCATCATATTTCCCGTAAGTAAACTTCGACTTGTAAAAGTCGAACGAGTTTTTCTGGCCCGTTTCTCCTCAAATCGAAATAAACTTACAATAAGAAATAAAACTCGGAGAAAAGATGCTCGTTACCATACCTTGTGTGACGGCCTGCCCAGCAATAGAGTAGATTCTCATGGCCAATGAGAAATCTTCCAGATTGTTAAGAAACATTCCGAACCTCAGGAACTGCTCGAGAGTAATTCCCTTCAAGAAACAAGGTTTCAACGGTCCAATACTTTTTTTTTTAAGATATTCACATCCAATCACGGAAAGAACCTAGCCTTTACGACAGAGGTATTCTAAATCATTTCGTGGCAAAAAAGACTCCTATATGATGTAGAGAGGCATTTGACGCGGCAATGGGCTGCATAGCACTGATTCTCAATCGTGTAAAAAGTCCTAGGAGTCTACTACGTGCAGCAGCCATTCGGGTTCGTTACACAACATGCGAGTTACGTGATCCGAGCGTTACGTGACGAGCGTGTTGCTTGACGAGCCAAAAGGACAGATGCTAATTCAATGACACTGCATTGGTTTGACACTGCATTGAAGTAATCGAATTGATTAAGATACCACTAAAAGTTACTGAGGTAACCAAAAGAGATCGTACCTTTCGCTGAGACAGTCTCTTTCCAAGTCTGTTCAAGTACTTTTCTATTTCTTCTTCTTCCAGCGAAGTATTTCTCAGCAGCAAGCGAGCAAAATTGTCCTCTGGTATGGTTGGCATTCCTCTCGAATATTCCATAAAGTAAACACAGTTATGGAATTCATTTTATTAACGGTTTTTTCCTTGGAAATACGCCTATTCTACATTTCATCAGTCTTTCGACAAGTGAATTAAACATTTTATTTTTCTTGCGCAAAACAGGGCGTTTACGACCTTGTTCATCCTAACACTTTGCTTGTCACAAAAGAACCTATGTGCTTTGCAGCAGTTTGTAGAGCAGTGGATCTCAATATCCAAAGGTCTAAGATGTAGGTCTTCGCGGAGGAGCCAGAATGTTCAAATCACCGAAGTTTGACATCTAATTTCAATCAACGACCAAAAACGACTAATGCTACCTTACATATACATGTACAAAGTACCTCCACACGGGACGCCATAGTCATGCTCGTGAAAGATCTTCGCCATATTTTGTCGTCCTCATTTTTGTTCAGGTATCGTATAATAAACCATCCCACATTGATTTTTATTTTGTAATATTTGACGTTAAATGCTCAAAAGAAATTTAAAATATTCTCGTAGATTTTGTAACTACAAATCGTGAAAATACATTCTGTTTTTTACAAGCGTTATTCTAAGTCCATGTATTACTAAAGGATATTTCCATTTCAAGGACTTCTAGCTGAACATCTTGCATAAACCTAGGGGAAAAAATAAATTCCAGCGATGATAGTTGAGAAATAGTTGTCATTTTGTATCAGTCCAACATCTTACCCAAGCGTGAGGTCAAGATGGCTGGTTATTAACCGAGTTCTTTTTTTTTTACATTTTATGGATGCGAGACGAAGTCTAGGTCCATAAAAATGCAAAAAAAGAACGAGGCTAATATCCAGCCATCTTGACCGAACAAGCTTGGTTAATAAAGGATTTAAGGATTTATAATACTGCAAAAAGATTTTGCTTCATTAAGAATTAAGAATGACTTGTTTACTTCGAGACCCAGGAAATAAAGTCAACTGTGTTTGTAGTGCAACAAACTCACGAGAGTCGTTTCTGTTTTCTTTGTTTTGACTATCTTCTGCCGCTTTTGCGTTTCCATCGCCGAAATTGTCCAAGAATTGCGAACGTAGTTCTAATTCAATTTTTTTCATGCGCGGGATCAATGCGGGCAATCTCGAGCAGGCAAGATGGGCCCATCTTGCCCACTCGGTTGGCCAATCAGAACACACGATTCGCTTCATCTTGACCACGGGCGCTGGGAGCGATGTGATAAATATGTACATTGACGACTTCTCTAAAGCAAGCACCGAACAACTTACTTGGAGAATTGCGTGAAGGTAAGTTGGCCAGTTCCTTTGGAGCCAAACAGATGCATGGTTAGTGTGGTTTTCTCAGGACAGCCATGATTTTCCTTTTCATTTTCACGTATTGCCTGAGCATAAAAAAATTTATAAAAGCAAAAAGTATTATTTAGTAATTAACTTAATCACTTAATCTTAACATCCGAATATAACTAATTTTTTTATCATTATTATTCAAATCAAAATTTTTTTCCTTACCATTGACTTTGCAGAAGACTTTTTATTAATCATCTCCTCAAGCTGATGAAACACGAAGAAGCAGAGAAATGAATGGATGGATTGGTAAATCAACCATTTGTCACTCACTGAAGCGATACAAGCTTTTTGTGTAAACTTTCATTATCTGTATTAACTCACCACAAAATATTCTTCCATACAAAGTCGACCATTGCCATCTTTATCCAACATTTTGAAAGCAATTTCCAATCCTCTTTGAGATTCTGGAAAAGAAATTTGTTAGAAAATTTACGCTAATTCTTTCCTAGATTTATAATTAATTATAAATTACAGCTACAAACCAATCAAAATGTGTAAAAATGTAAAAAAAGTGCAAAAATGTAAAAACCAATCAAAATGTGTGTATAATTCAGGGTATCAAAAAATGGAAGACAGGGGCACGATGACAATACCATAGACAACATATTGCTTTTTTATCACATATGACAAATAGCGATCACATTGCTGTAGGTCTGAATAGTGATAGATCATGAGAGATGTCAAATGTGGCAAGAATGCCAGTGACACCCTTGCCTGCACAGTTGCACCATGCATATGTTGTAGTTTAATTTTATCCTTGGTTCAAATTTTATTTTCCTTTGACGTTTCAAACTCATTATCATACATTTAACATGACTGAGAACAAAGGAAAATAAAATTTGAACCAAGTATAAAATTGAACTACAACATATACATGTACTGGTGTATAGTTACATAATTGTAACAAAACCAACCATGTCAAGTCACAAATCTAATGTACTTGTACAATGTAGGAACAGAGTTGCAAAAACATACTTGTTAAAATGGTAAGAAGGAACAAATATTCAGAGAAGGTGATGACTCCTGGTGAGCAAAGATATCAAACAAATCATCATCTCAAATTCCATAGATTAAAGTCAAGAAATATCCCTATGCATAAATCATAAACAAGAATTCAAGGACAATATCTGTTACGCATGGCAAGTGAGAGTTTAAATGTTGATAGTGATATATATGAAATTACCATTATCTTGTAGCTTTCGAAAAAAATTCCTAGATCCCTTTGATATTGAGGGTGTATTATAGACCATCTGAGAAAGAACCTAACAGTAAATAAAATATGTGACTAAACATGAGCAATGAGAATAGAGCAAGTAGCAATTGTCTTCCTATTGTATGTACTTATTGACTGAGTTATGAGGGGAGAAACTTAACAAAAAAGATGTTTGGCTCAGGGTCATGAACCCCACCCAGTGAAGGCCATGCATGATGACTGAGAGCTAAATATTTACCTTTCCTCCCAAACAAGCCCAGTCAATAAGCATTTTATCATGTGACCACTGAGTCTTAAGTTTTGAGATCACGTTTGAACCTAGATGGCATCCATATTATTTCAAGTTCAAATTCAGAATTTGAATTTGCGCACTTGGAAAATACAGATTGGCTTGGACCCATCTGTCCCTATACAAGTTAGCTTTCATTGTGCACACTGCTGGAAATACAGGTCATACGACAAAATATCATTTACAATAGAGACCCCTTGGCCCAGTAATCAGCTTCATGGGATACTGGTGGAAGATCCAAATTGAAGCCCAGAGTCAGTGCATTGTGTCCTCAATGGGCATTAGACATTTCATTCTTTAAGTGTCTGGCTTCGCCCAAGTGTACAAATGAGTAGTGTAGAGTATAAAGCTTGTAATGCTTTCATTTCATGTATGCCACCCAGTTTTCCTGACTTGTATCATAATTCTAAACAAGGACAATAAGAAAATTTATCCCAAAGAAAGTGACTTAAGACTACTCCTCTCAAGCTAGTGAGCTAATATTTATGTTTTCTTTAGAAATGCTAAGTACAATATTGTGCAGCACTTGTATTTATAGGGTAGCAATGCAGTTAAAAAATAAATAATCATAACAAAATTGGATTCAAACTTACTTCCTTTGTTAATGGTCTCTTCCTACTCCATCCTGATTATTTTGAAAAAAAAGCACAATTTTGTTTATTTCAACCATTTCAACTTTGTTGATATATCCAAATTATTTCGTTACTCCCACCGACGCAGCCCCTAACAGTTTCTTTCGAAACTATCAGCCTTTATTCATTTGTTTATTTCAACCAACACACAAACTTCCAACAAACCTAGCTGAGAGGTTTCAGTAAAAATAATGAAGATGACATTTACAAAAGCCATTTCTTAGAAGCCCCTAATCCACTATTTAAAGTGATAAAAACATTGTAGCTTTAGGATTCTTTAACCATTTGATTTTGTAACTTCAAAATTGTCCCTGAAAAAGACAACTTTCACATTACCAGTAAGTAGATAAAGCCTGCTTACAAGCCAAGTGGCCCATTGGACCAACGCTTAACTCCAATTTCGGTTGCATGAAGCAAATGGGAGTATTTCTACTCTCTCCTGGATGGAATGCTAGTCCATCGCAGGGTTAACCCCCAGCATTAAACTCACCACTACCCGTTTATTCCCCTGGGTGAAGAGAGGCACTGTGAGAGTAGTGTTTTTCCCAAGAACACAACACAATGTCCCTGGCCAGGGCTCAAACCTGGACTACTTGATCCAGATTAGAGCGCACTAACTATGAGGCCACTGCGCCAGACACACACCAGTACTTGTAAGAAAACTCAACCCTAAAAACAGCCTCTATTCATACACACTTCTTGATCACCAGCTCCTCCTCAATTCAAGACTTTGGTGAGGTTGGAACAAACTTTGAACACTTTGCTAACACTATGTGGCGTACCACTGGTCTAGGAACCAGGTCCTGGTTGTTCAAAGGTCGGATGATGCTAGGTAGTGGATAAATCACTATCCAGTGGATTACGCAGTACATTTTGGTAACTCTTATCTACCAGATGGCTAATTATCCATTGGAAAGCATTATCCACCCTTTGAACTGCCAGGCCCAGAAGTTTAAAAGGGGAATGACTCTATCCCCCTCTTTTTAGTAACTGTTTTGTTGACATTTGTCAGCTGAACAGCAATACTGATCTACTGGATAGTCCTATAGGTGGTTTGCAACCAATCTCTAGAGACACAGGTAACAATGGTGAAAGGTACAAATGCTGGTGGACGAACAAAAGAAGCTAATGAGGTCTCTATTGTTTACGTCCACCAACATGGCGGCAATGACTTAACACACAAACCACCCATCAAGCAATTTCTAACAGGAAGAGGTAGGAATGGTTGAAAGAAACACCCAAGGTTTATGTTCACCGACCTTCCTACGAGGAGATGGTGACAGGGATTGAAAGATATCGAAGGGTTTAAACAGTTAAGAAATGTGCATCAGTGGGTGTGGGTCTGACTAAAGTGGCGATCATCACCTGGTGAATCCTTGTTCATGACAGATTCAAGGAAATCAGCTGGAGTCATGAAGTACCGCCCGTCCACTTCAATGGAAGCAAACTGATCAAACTTTGTCTTACGCCGAGTTTGTGTCAGCCCAGGAGCGCTGTCGCGAGACTTTGCAGCAACTACATTGAAAGATGAATTTTCATTCTTCGCCCTCCACAACAAACAGCAACTCACTCCTCCAATTCCGAGGACCGCGACGCGAAACAAGGACGTTTTACCCGCTAGGGTGGAAAACATTACTCAGAAGAAAGATTTTTAGCTGCTAAGTAAGTTATCGAAAACAGAGGTTCACTTTCATGTATCAAACAAAATTCTTCGAAGTGAACACCTAAGTTGAC